AAGCAAAAACAAAATACATGTAAATTTTTGTTTTTGTACTCCTGCTATCACCTTATATTAATTCACCTTGCTTTGAAACTTTACTAATTAATTGTTTATACCGACACATAAAGCGCTTTGACCCAGTTCGCTGTGATTCAAAGCGGATGCATAAACCAAATTTCAATACGCTCTGAATTTGAAAAGTGTATTCAAGGCGTATTAAATAAGGTAGAAGTGATTTTGACATTTCTCTCTTTTGAACGCTGACTATAATGTCAAATGATGAATAACTTTTAGCCCTTTTCAAGTTGGCATTTTCTAATTTTCATTAAAAATTCAAATGTGCTTTGAGATAGTTTTGAATTGTGTGACTTTTTTTTTGTTTTTCGACCACATGCATTTATAGATACATACATATACAAAAATGAAAAGGAGCAGGAACTACGAGCGTTGCATTGTGTGCAAAGTGGTGCGATACTTTAAGGTAACTAGTTGCGAAGTTAGAAGACTTGGTTGCCTAACGCAACGGAATTTCAGAACTGAGTAAGAGAATTTTCTTACAATATTATGCACACATAACCGCGTCAGGATCTAGATTTACACTGATATACATACTTATGTAGAAGAAAACATTAAATCATTTTTTATAAGTGGGGATGTTTTTTAGAAGTAAATATTTAACTAAACGCGCAAAAACATTGGGCGAATAGAAACAAAAAAAATGTTTAAAACAGTTTCATAAAACATTTATTTCATTTAATTACGTGGTTTCCGTTATGAGGTATTTTTTTCTGTCCATTAGTATATGTGCATATAAGATGCGAATGCAGCTAAAATTCTGTGAAGAGAATATTGAAGTAACCCAGCAAAAAACACGATTACCACAGAAACGAAAGTGGAAACGAGCTAGGCGGTGGGAATCGCTTGCTCTCCCGCTTCATGGCATTATTTTAACATGGGCATGTATGTATGGGCATGTAATGTATTTAGATTTTACTTAAAACTCGGATGAACATAAATGCACATTTAATTAAGCTTAAAATTGTACTTCCTCACTCTTGTACTTCACTTCATTGACTGACTTCAACATCGCTGCAAATTGAACAAAGAAAAATATGATTTTTATGCGAGACAAATTTCTACAGAAAGTAACGGTATAAAAATAATTTTTGGATATTCATTCTATTTTTCAGCTGACTACGATGCAGCATTCTACTTTGCATTCCCCGAAATGAAGCAAAGAAGCGAAATAAAAAAAAATATTGTAGGACATTCTACTTTGCATTCCCTGAAATGAAGCAAAGAAGCGAAACAAATAAAAAAATATTGTAGGACATTCTACTTTGCATTCCCCGAAATGAAACAAAGAAGCGAAATAAATAAAATATTGTAGGACATTCTACTTTGCATTACCGGCAATGCCTAAAAGAAGCGAAAAAATTCGAAAATTCGGCATTATAACGCTATGCCTTCTAGAACACGTTACCACTAAAAGCGATTACCGATTTTTTGCTGGGAATCCTTAAAATTAGTATACGTATGTATTTATGCTGATGCATTTCTATGGTGAAATTATAAGCAGGTGAAGTACTAAAAAAGCTTTCTCGCTTTATTTTCCTGGCATTCGGCTATTTTATACAAATTTTTAAAGGCAAATTTTCAAATAAGTTAGGGTCAAATCTTTCATCTCGCTCTTATTACTACACCTGGTATAATTTCACCATGATGAGGTTCTATTGATGCTAATTTGTAGCAAACACAGCACGCGCACCTCATAGGGTTAATTTGTTTGTTTACAGTTTTTTGACATTATAACTAGTTACAAGAGAGTTCGAGCTAGTTGTCCCTTCTACCTTGTTAAATATGCCTTGAGTGCATGATTCAATAATAGAAAGGTTTTGTAATAAAACAGTCTTCTCGCTCCCACACATAAAATCGGCTCCTTTACTTGTGCAAAATGTTGCTTACTCTATAGTTTCTAGTGATATTAGTAGTAAAACCAAAAATTCTTCATACTAAATATTCGTTGGCATCACCTTCGTTTGCGAAATTTTCTAGAGCAAGTGTAGAATACGACCGTTTAGCTATGAAATAACCAAAAATGCCGATTGATAGAACCTTTTACGCTGATTTCAAATTTATTTGGCGCTGGTAAAAAGTAAAGAATATATAAGAGGTTTATTTGTATTTTTACTATTACTAAATTGTTGAAACCCAAAAGTAGATCATGATAAAATATGTAATATCGAATTAAAGATAATAACTTGCACTTTCTAAATAATATAAATTTCTTTACCATTAATTATGCAGTTTTTTTAAAAAAAGGTTATTTTTTTGGTTTTGGTTTAAAAATACAAAAAACTAAATTGTGTACATCAGCTGAAGAACAAATTAATTACCTTTATGGTGGCGTCATTAGTTTTTTTATCGGTTATAAAGTTCATAAGATATTAATATTTAAAATATCTAAAAACTGAACTTTAACCTTCTAGAACGTCTTCATTTTTTACTTGCGCCAAATAATTTTGGCATGGTTGAACTGAGCATAAAAAGTTCTATTGATTTGCATTTTTCGTTTTTGCATAGCTGAACGGTCGGTATTCTAGATGTGTTCCAGGAAATGACGAATAACTTAAATCAAAAATGCATATTTTTATGTATTGTTTAGTATTTCCATTAAAACACCAAATATATTGCAAATTCGAATAGAATTAATAATACACATTTTACTTAATTTGCGTACTTTTTGTAGTACCATTCCACTACCGTTTTCGCAAAGGCGATCACATTCTCCCCCTTTCTCCTACTTCCAAAATACAAATCTAGATAAAGGAGTGTGAAGTTTTAGCTGTCACAAATTACACAACCTTGTAGTTATTATTGAATCATGCCTTGAGTGTATTGACTCGAATTTGATGTCAAATCGGTTTTTTATTTCTCAAGTCGGTTAGAAAACATAGAAGAAATTGACGACCAAGTCGAACCAGACTTGCTGTATGATAATAGTTGCACGGATAAAATACGGATAAAATAATAAGTGTTTACAATAATGTATGTTCGGTTGACTGTGCATCTCAGAAACGAAATTATTTTTTTAAAGCGTCAAATTAAGAAAATCCCTCCAAATAATCGTCAGATTTTGGAACAGGACGACAAGGGCATCGAGATGAACCTTCTGTATGAAAATCTGACGCGTAAATCCTGATGAGTAAATCCAAATGGCGATTTTTTCGCATCTTCGAGAAGACGCCACGAGCTTTCGTCACATCTGAATCGTCAGATTATTGAATGGGGGGTTCATTCGGGCCCATTTAGCATTCCTTGTGAATATCTGACGCGCTCGAGTAAATTTTTTTGTCACCCATTTTTGACCATTCCGTACGCCCAACCCCACCATGCAAACCGGCAGATTAGCATATTTCCGTCACGTTTGATTTATTCACTATCAGTATCTGACGCGCTCGAGTAAATCCATGTAACTGTTTTTTTTTTTTACATTTTTGGAAGCCTGTTGATCTTCTACCCACCGCTGGATGGAAAAACATCACATGACCTTTTTTTTTTGCCATCATATCATCTTCAAAATCCAATAGGTCAAAATGACGCTCGAGTAAATCCCGATTTAGCATCGGGGCTCCCCTACTAACTGTGACGAAATTACATTTTCTAAGTGATAGCCTCAGTATCCAATACAGAAACAGAACATTGTTTCACCTGATAACATAATATCTCCCTGGACAATATCCTCAAATAACAGAGATCACACAAAATTTCAGTGAAGCTGGACACGCAAAGGGTACAGCAGACGGTATTGATGCTGTACTACGAACAGACGTGAAGCCTTTCATTGGAATTATGAAAGTTCATCAATACACCTGGGCGAAGATTAACCCGCTAGTGATTTCTTTCAGCTCTTTGAGTTGCTTTCACTGTTTTCCGGGAAAGACCTGCTTTCATTTCAACCTCGGATCTACAAATTATGGTACTACTCCATCTAAACATCGCAAGACGTCAATCACAAGAAGTGAGGAGTACAGAAAATCGTCAACATCTAAAACTAGGGATTTAAATGGTGGACCATTGACGAACGAGAAGAAGAAAGCTGGAGAAATAACGTTTGAGGTGCGCGGTGATTGATACAATATTCGTTTCATTCCGTATATTGAAATCGTCTTTGTACTTTTCGGGCTTTGAAAATCGTGATTGTGCCGTGATTTGATTCAGTGATTGAAGCGGCTATTTGCTACTTCCTTGTTACAAATTAATTTTGAAGTTTAAATATGTTTTTTTTTTAAAATAAATGAAATTAATAAATTGAACTAATACCTAATTTCATTAAAAATGAGAAAAAAAGGAGTTTTTTTACCCCGTAGTTTTAGATATTTCGAGTTTGTAGCGCAACCACTTCTCGTATACGCTCAAATGTCCAAAAGTACCATAAAACCTGTCTCATTTGGCTCAGTAGGCATATTTCCACGGCGAAAAATTAAGATCTCAAAAATCGCCATTTCCGAAGAAACACCTATCTATTGATATCTTACCAAGAGAGATTGACACCTGATTGCCTTAAATCTTTAAAACGCAAATTTTTGCGATTTTTGAGTCGCTTGAGTTTTGGTTGTACATTCGATAGTTTGACATGGTAGCGACGATATACATATACAGCTTTTAAAAACTTTAAATTCAGCATTAGCGTTCATATTGTTCAATACATGTTTCCAATCGTAATCTTAAAGACGGTTATTCAAAAGATCAGAGCTGCACGAACTAAAGTAAAAATTTGGCCGGCTACTCTCAAGAGAAACAGTAGAGTAAACATAAAATTGAATTGTGAATCCCTTATGTGTGCATGGAATTTGTCTGATAATAAATTTATCGTCTCATCCAAGGCCCAAAATGTTATATATGTATATAAATTAGTCTTTTGCAAAGGTGCCTTTTTTAACATACATATGTACATTTCCAGTTGAGCCCCCTCAGCAGTTACATAATACAAGATTTTTGTATATTTTCTGTAGGAGCCGAAAAAACTACTCCCTGCACTGCCCACCCGCTCCACCAAAGTCGAATATGAGGTGATGAATCTAACTGATACAGTGGCCTGGAAGGAATACATGGAGCCCGAAGACTTTTCTCGGAAGCCCGATTCGATATTCCCCGTTGAATTGGACTATTACTACAAATTCATATCCGGCTTAGCGATGGAATTAGATGCCTTAAAATTGAGTGAGGACGAATGGTCGCCGTCGCAATCACAGTTGAACATGCCTAAAATCAGTCCATTAGCATTCGAAAACAATGTGGCTCGCATGTCGCTATGCGATGCCCCTTTGGCTGATAAGCGACGGCTGCACATACTCGAATTGACGTTGAGCGGACAGACGATGCAGACCGCAGAGCAGGCCGATTTTTTGGCTGCCATCACCACAGCTGGCGCAAATGACGTCTTTGATATGGAGCGATTCGAGTTTTTGGGGGATTCGTTTCTTAAATTTTCGATCTCTCTATATTTGGTGCATAAGTATCCAAAATGGCATGAGGGATTCTTAACTGAAATCAAAGGGAAGCTTGTCTCGAATAAAAATCTTATCTACTGTATGCTCGATACTGATATACCGGAACGAATTTGTGGTTACTTATTCAAACCTCCACATGAATGGTTGCCTCCATTAATCAGCTTACCACGAAATATTCTAGAACTCATTGAGAGTAATGACAACATTATGAAATGTTTAACACCGAGTGATTTATATGCGATTGAACTGGATGACGACGAGATTGCCAACGGATGTTGCTCTACCGATAATTTAAGTAAATTGGTCGCTTGTAGCACTCAAACGCATAAAATGATCGAGGGACCAGCAGCGGAGGAGGCAAGACTAGACAATGAATTAAATTTGTTTATATACAAAGAGACCTTGCGCGATAAAGTCGTTGCTGACACCATGGAAGCTATACTCGGTGTTTGTGTGAAGAATTACGGCATTTACAATACTTTCCGCATGTTGGAATTCTTTGGAATCTGTAAACCTGAACCAGGCCAATCTTTCATGCGTTTAATGGACTTGAAGTTGGGCAGCCCGTTGCTGCATGCAAACATCTCGGCCCGTGAGGTCGATAGTTTCCTAATCAACTATCCAAAATTGGAGGAGAATTTGGGATATAAGTTCCGCGATCGTGCATACTTATTACAGGTACGTGCCAATTTTCGAATGTACATACTAGGCTGGGTCGATTTTGTATGGGGGAAAATAAAAGGCATTTGACCGTATTGTAATAGTAATATTATGATGTCTTTGGTCTAAGCCAATTCTTATTGGCCACGAAAGATTAATTTAAAACGTATCTTTAGCCCGCGCAATATAATCAAAGTGTATGAATTTTATAAATTAAACTTTGGCTTGTATTATCTATGGAATGCGTTAATTGTTATAAACAACAAAAAAAATAAAAGTAACAACACAAACTCGGCTATTTATCCGAGCTCAGCCAGGTCGGTTAAAAAATACGCGACCAGAAGGGTAGTGTTGGTAAGTGAAAAAACTGCTCTATTGTGAATTGTTAATGGGAAAATGGGGAGGGAAATTCCTTATATACGTTACTTATATTTTAAAAGAGTATATATATTACGCAAATACTAATTTAAATTGGTTTTTGTATCTAGATCCCGTTAAACTACTCACATTTTCTTGCCAGCTACTAACAGGGTTGCTTAAGTAGCTAAAAGGAAATTTTACCCGAGTTGAGCGTTCTTTTGTCCCTCGCTTACAAAAAAATGCAGCTAATATTAAGAGGGCCATGGACTTGTTCACGCCGATTTGGTCAGTTTTCAAGATTGTGGTGAATGAAGTCAAACATGTATTGTCAAAGATTAGGAATCGTTTGATAAGTTAATAGTAGTTTCAAGCATATCAGTATTTACATACATTAACATAATACTATTAGGGTGAGAAACACCCATTTTAAGTCCATTTATGCAGTCTTGAAAATTTTTCCCGGTTTCTAAATCTGCCGTTATATGAAAGTAGGGGACGTGTAATAAGTGTTTAGATATACATAAATATTTTAGTCAATTCCATTATGTGAAAAAGTGACTGTAGGTAAATGCAATAGTCTTTAATATATCCTGGGACATCCTTTTGAAAACTCTCCAATTGGACGATATTGCTTTGCATTTAGCTTGAACGAAAAAAGTCACTCCCTGGCACACTTTTCTGTAATCCGGTTATTTATACAATTGAAGAGACATTTTTTTTAGAAAAAAACTGGAGATCCACTTATGTTTATCGATATAACTTTGGTAAATGTTACTCGATCGGTACCTAATAATTACCAAATTGAAGGCGAGACTTAATGTTACTGATTTTTGATAATAATATGATTAAAATTGTTCGGATTATAAACAAATTATTAAAAAAAAAATTAGAACAAATTTTTCGTCATTTTCTTATATTTGCAATTTTTATATTTTATGCATAAACCTAAGTAGACTAATTAGTGTTTCTAGAAGTTGTGCCTGTTCAGTGTTTCCATACTCATTTGCATAGACAAACTTTTTCCACAATGATGAAAAATAATGGCTTTTCTATTAGAGTTACCGAAATTGTTCCGAAAATTTGCAAAAATTCGCGAACTATAGCTAATATTAAAAAAAAAGATTAGAATATTTGGAACCAGCGACCCAAACGCACGCTAGCAATATTAAAGCTGTTCTTTACATCTTTTGATTTTTGGGCAGTGCAATTATCAAGAGAACAATTAAAATTTTATTGAAAACAGATAACTTTGAGATTAACGATAAGCTAAAGGGCTGCGAGAAATGAAATTTGACTTTTGCGTAAACGGATTCATTATCTAATAATATGCACCAAACCCTTTTGCTGAACCCAGAATTTTTAACAAGAATTGGTCTTATTCGACGACAACTAAAATTAAATACTAATATTTTGCAGGCTTGTGGTTGACTTCATGATACAATATATTTTCACTATTACCAAGGGATTTGAGAAAAATTAGATTTTCCACCCGCCCTAGTACATGCATACAATTTTTGAATACTTTTTATACTCGGGCGCACTCGTGCACCACGATATATTATATATTGTGCACAACGGTTGTTTGTAGCACTCGTAACAAAATTGTGGTAGATATAGATAGAATAAAAAGAAATTCGATTCAACTATTTTTTGCTCGATTATCGATAGCAACCGAACTTCAGTTGTGTTGCCAGTTGCCGAATCGATATTACAGATGGCAACTGACAACTCTCAACTGGCAGCTGCATTTGCATATAAAGTGTGTATACAGGCACCTACATTTTTAACATTTTGCAATGTATTTTGCTTTTACACCGTGAAAATTAAAACAAAACAATTTGAAATTTTAGTTTTCGTGGTGAACGTGCTTTTGGTGAATCAAAAGCGAACTAGTTACAAATTTCTTCCTCTATCAACTGAAGCACCTCTTTTAAAACACCCGACATACCAAATTTTCCAAATTAAAGTGATTTCTGTGGGACTCCCTTCTGAGAAAAATCAAAGCGGTGCGCACGCTTTTAGGAGCAGAGGTATACGAAGTCGTTTCTCTGTTTATTAACCATATATAATAAAGCTTCTCTTGGAAGTTTGGAATATGCTTGAATGTGAACACAAAAAGATAATAAAAGAAAAACCTTGAAAGCATTAACTTTTGCTTACAGTGCAGGCTGTTGCTAGAGGATTGGAATTATCCTTTAAATGCCGCTTGATTGAAATTCTCTCCCCTTTAAACAAATAATTGTACTGAACTTAGCATTGTTGCTGACTTTCATTTAATACTTTTTATTTTAATAATTTCATTTTACTAGCACAGCTTGTTGTCGTTGCCGGTTGTCGAACCTTCAAATTTCGATTATCGATAACTCTACAGCAACTGACGATAGCTACCATTCGTAGCACAAATTTTCTTTCCAGTTGCCTTTTCAGCTGGCAGCCGAACCGTGCTTGCGTTGCTATCCGTAATCGACCTACTATTTTTGCGCCCAAACGTTTGTGCACACCATAAGTTCCAGTTTTGTATGGCTAAGTACGGATAGTATTGAAAATGTGCAAAATCTGACAATAAACACGCTCATGTTCCATATCACTATAATTTTGATAAATTCCATTCCATTATAACTGGTGGGAGATTTTACTCGCAACACTTAATTTTTAAGAAAGAGGTTTTTGCGTTGTAAAATATCTCTCGCCACAAGCAATAACCGCCTAAGTTGACTTAAGAAAGAATGGAGTTGTATATCGAGGGCTTATATTCAATACCCTGTATCTGCAATTTTTCACAAAAACTACTTTGTGATGTTAGAACCCATCTGGGACATTGCAATTTAATTGTAAGTTCTTCTGTCAAGCGTTATACAAGGTCACCATTAATATCAACGATGACACTTATTTATTTTTATCAGAATCTCAGTTTTGTGAAAAGTGCAGATAGAGGGTATCGAATATAAGCCCCTCGATATACTATCGTATTCTTCAACCACTATTCCATGCGTATGGTGAAATCCGCATCTCGCCAAATAGACTACTTAAAAAGTTATCCCCATAGGGATAACATTACAATCCAAATGTTTAAAACGTTTTTTCTCGAATTCGGGTTTTTCGACTTAGGCTGTTATTGCAGCTGTCATAAACCACAGACATGAACTATACGCTTTCGTTTTCAATAAAAATTAGGTTGATATAATTTTCATGGGAATATTAAAAAATATTTCAAGTTGGTGCACACATTTCTCTTAGTCCAGCTGTGCATAACAAGAAAAAACGATATATAAAGCGTGCGCCATATATACAGTTATCTTTTGTCCTGTCAATTTTGCCAGTTTGTCCATAAAAACCCGAAACCCGAAAAACCGAAAATAAAATTTCTGCCGAAAAAATACTAGCGTGCTCAGGAAATTCGCCTGATTAACATATCCAAACATGCATTCCTTAAAATATCCGCAAACATAGTTAATTAATGAAAAACAATTGAAAATTCACCTCTCAATGCCTCAAACAATGACAAATTCACTATAACTCAACGAATCGAGGATACACTCTCAATTTGTAGAGGAAACAGTAATCTACAAAATCGATGCGGGAAGCTATGCCCTACAATGCCTATTTTTTGGGGGTGCGGGTGATCAAAAATAGGTAAAACATAAAAAAATTTTATTAAATATTTACAATTGTGACCTAAATATAAAAAAGGCCTGCGCTTTCGAAATCTGGTTTCGGTTTGGCTCTGTCTACTTTGGTTCGAAAGATATTTGATTTAAAAATCAGCTAAGTTTAGTCAATCATCAAGAAACGGTTTTTGTGATGAACATTTTTCAACTTTAGAGACGTAGTGTTCATAACGACAAACGATATTTTATAAGTTTCTGTTTGGAAGATACACTAACCGTTTATCTAAAGTAAGCTTTTTCTTAAATTAGTATTAACCTAAGTTCATCAATTTTTGTGTTGATAATTAAAGGTTTATTTCTTACATTTTTACCTTTACCTAAGCTTTTAAATACTAAACCAGAACAAGCCTAAAAATATATTTATACAGGCGTCTACTATGAGTTATCCCAAATAATTACATATATAAACTAGCTGCGGGAAAATGCGGGTTTTTACGTAAAGGGCTGCTTTAAAGTCAAGTCGTAAACTTTTAGAAAAAAATTGGTTTAGAAAAATTTAACAGGAATCTGTGGGAATTGAATCATAAAATAGTGCAGATTAATATCTTCAAGTATATGTACGTTTGACCAAATTGCTCATTTAAAGAAAATGTTGTTGATATATCTTCCGTTGCTCTAATCACGTCAGTTGCGGCAGATCTTGAAGATGTTTTGGTATAAATATTTTTAAACCAGTTTTTATTTTTTCAAAGTAAAATTTAAAAAATTAATATTTTTGCAGTGCCACTTATGTATATATGAAAAAATGTCAAGCTGGACAAAAAAAAAAATGGAAAAATGTAAAAATTATTCCCAACTTTAATATGAATTTCTAACCAATTTGTGGCTGATTTTACATGGTGAAATTTAAAAGATAATTAAAAATTTGAATTTTATCAATAATTTTCATTAAGTTAACGATAGTTGCATGAAGCTTTGCAATGCAAAAAAATATGAAATTTTCGAAGATCTTGTAGTTTGAATGAAAATTGTATCATTTTAAATTCTTTTGCGGGTCAGTTTACAAAGTCGATTTTTAGTTATTTTTTACTGTTGTTGGTAATTACATACGTATCTTCCAATACCAAAAAAAAAAAAAAACGATAAAATAATGTGGTTGTTCACACTTGCCTGGTTATCAGGTTATTTGGTTATGTGTTTATATTTTTTATTCAGCTTACAAAAATAAAATACACTTCTTCTTCTTCTTTATTGGCCGCCTAAGCGATTTTGGCCGAGTCCAAAACAGCACGCCAGTCATTTCTCTTCTGTGCTAACTGCCGCCAATTGGAAATGCCAAGTGAAGCCAAGTCCTTCTCCACCTGGTCTTTCCAACGCAGAGGAGGCCTCCCTCTTCCTCTGTTACCAGCATCGCGGCCCGCGTTGAATACTTTCAGAGCAGGAGCGTTTCTATCCTTTCGAACGACATGGCCAAGCATGGCAACATATACATTAGGGTGGTTAATTTTTTCTACTATATGCTGCGTATATCTTATGAGGATTCTACGTGTAATTCTAAGCAAATTGCCGAAAGTTCCGGCAATTTTTATTTCCTTAATTTAATAAACAAACCATGGGCATAAAATCAACTTGGAGTTTGCGAAAATAGGTTTCAAAGAAAATGTGAAATTTTCACTGTTGGACCCTCCGATGGAAGTTATAAGAAAAAGATAAGTACAGAAATGTACTCCTCATACCATAAAACCCCTTATAGCATGTTTTTAAAACAAAATTTACCACTTTACGACACTACAGCAAAATGCTAAGAAACCTAATTTCACAATTTGGCAAACTTCAAACTGATTTTACACATGCGCTTGTGTGCGAAGCAGCGAAGTCTTCCTCAACAGCCAGTGTTCGGCCTATACCACATTTGTAAAAGTGATTCCACTTTTTTTTTTTGCTTAATTACTAAACTACCACATCTTGAAACTTCTTTTTTTTCATTTGCTCATTCTTCCATCGCTAACTTTCTGTTTATTTTATGCGAATGCACAATTTTGGTGTCAAATATTGAACAAGTATTAGCAGCAGAGCAAGCAGCACATTTATTTTTTTTTTTTGGTGTCGTATATTTCCCCCTTTATACAAAAAGGTTTTTGGTTGGATAAAATATTAGCTTTTTTCCAGAGCTCATTGCTTTTCTATACCATTACTTATTGAAAATGTTTGAGCGTATACTTATATGTGTATATGTAAGTAAACAATTTTAGCTACCATTTTTAGCCACAACTACTTTTTTAGCCCTCTGTTTGAAGGAATTTGGCTACAAATGATTCGCGGCAACACTGGGTAGAATCCTTCTGTGGTATACGCGCATAGTCGAAAAAATTCCCAATACAAATTGACCCGCCCTAATATACATATATTTTGTTTTATTTTTAAATTTGGGGTAACTTTTCAAGGTAAAATTGGAGCATATTTAAATGTTTAGTTATCTTTATCGATAAACAATTTTCTACTTAGAACACAAAAAAAACTGCGAAGAAAAATTTAAACCCGTTCAGAAGTTATAGATTATTGATCACTCAAACCCCTAAAAAAGCACTGTGCAACGCCAATAACACCAATTGTTTTCAATTATCTATATATTATTCTGAAACAAGGCGCTTATTCCCAGCGATCTACAAGTCGTACAGAGACAAATTATACATCAAATTAAAGTGCTCGATCTGAAACTTTGATTTAAGATTCATTGAACCATTTTCGAAATATTTACGTCGAAAGATTTTAAAATTTTTACATTGAGCAATGCATTGCTACGTTCATTTCGATAGGCAGCGTCTCAGCGGGACATACGAGAATGAAAAAGTGTTCCATCAGTGGAAGATCTGCAAAACAAAAATGTTGCTTTTGGATATTAATCAAAACCACTTGAAGGTTCGATCAATTTCGTGTCCAAAAAATAATCACTGTACGGTAGTTAATTAAGAAATGTTCGGAGATGAAAATATTACTTTGGCGTCGATATCTACTGCTGTTTCGGAATATCCACATGTGCTAGTGGAGTAGGGGAGTTGCACCTCATGACTTGATACTAAAAGTTGGAGCAATTGTGATGTTAATCCCCAAACTAAAAATTTATTTATGCATATATGAAGGGTGTGTTAATGGTCTCGCCTAAAGGCGGACTCACCGTTCGTGTCCGGACCCTATTTGTTAGTAATTTTACGCGTTCCTTTCCCACTTTGTCCCACTGAGAGCGCGACAAAAATGTGCTGAACACTCTTTGTTCGAATCAAATTGATTTTGATTTTCTGTCCGAACGCCTTGATGTTTCGGGTTACCGCGTTCTAGTTTGTATGCGTTTGCAGCGAATTGTATGTATTATCTTCCCTCGAAATCCTATGACGGCAACAATGTCATCAGTTGTTTGCTTCATAACAAAATAAAATGTGCCGAACTGAACGGTGAACCGTACTTCAGCACCCTCTCCGGCAAAAATCTTTTGAGAGCAAATAAAAAGTTGTCCGGACACGAACGGTGAACCCGCTTTAAAAGTTAAAGAACTACAATATAATTGTTTGGATGCCGCAATACCAATATAAATATATATAGGGTTAGTTAATGTACTTCAAACATGTGATTCACAAGGGAAACGAATTTTACTTCCCCATAAAAATTAACAGTCCAGCGAATCAACACTTCCATTTGTGTTTAAACGTCGCCATTTCAAAATTATTGTAGCGTCTGCAACAAAATTAAATAGGTCTCAAAGTCAGACCCCGCATGGCCAGCTTTGTATACGCATTGAGTAAAGTATGATCTTGCCAAAGTACCAAAGTTAAAGTTAACTACCAAAAGCAATGCATGTGGTTTTTAGAATAAAGAAATATCCAGATTATTTAGACCACGAGCACCCCGATTTTCGGGGATTATTACTAGTTTAATATATTTATGGACATTTTTGGGGTTGCATGTTTGGATATGTTAATCAGGTGAATTTTCTTAGCACTCTAGTATTTTTTTGGGGTAGAAATTTTATTCCCCCCTTAAAGTCTAAATTGACTGGACTATTAGGTGTTTTTACTTCATTCATATTGCATTTCTTTTACTTCCTATTTTCAGGCCTTAACGCATCCGTCCTACCCGACTAATCGGATAACTGGCTGCTATCAAGAACTCGAATTTATTGGTGACGCTATACTTGACTTCCTGGTTTCATGCTTCATATTTGAGCGCTATCGTCATAAGACTCCCGGTATGTTGACAGACTTGCGTTCGGCTTTGGTCAATAACATAACATTGGGTTGTGTCTGCGTACGACATCGCTTCCATTTATTCTTGTTGGCTGAAAATAGTGTGCTGGCTGAGTCTATAAAAAATTTCGCCATTTATCAGGAGAAGCAAAATTACTATGTTACCGATCAGGTGCACATATTGATGGAGGAGAATGTTATGAATGAAGATGAGGTTAAGGGTGCCACTTACAATTTATCAGCGAATGTTGATGTCCCGAAGGCATTAGGTGACATTCTGGAGGCATTAATTGCCGCTGTTTATCTCGACAGTCGAGACTTGCGCACTACTTGGAATGTCATATACGGTCTGCTGGAGCAAGAATTCAACCAGTTCTCTCGCGATGTACCCATCGATGCAGTGCGACAGTTGAATGATCATAAACACGCAAATCCCAAATACAGCGATCCAATTGTAGACAATGAAACATACATGGTGAAATGCCAGTTTACATGCCTCGACAAAAGTGTGGAGGTGAATGGGTTTGGCTTAAATGGAAAGCAAGCCAAGAAAGCGGCAGCCAAACATGCGCTTCAAATATTGGCTAAATACTCCAGCTAAATACTTTCATTTTTTTGCTTCCAAAAATAAGATTTATTATAAATGTTTCTGTTAAAAGGTCAAATAAGACTGAAAGTAGATATAGAAGAAGGAATTTAGAAAGTGGAGCGCTTTTAGCACTGTTATATACATATGTATGTATATCGTCCCCCCATGCCAGAAGCATGAAAGTGTAAATTTACCAATTCTGAGTTAATAGGTTGACTTGATTAACCTTTGGATGTTCTATGTTATACCAAAACCCAGAATACCATGCGTACACGGAAACCACATATTTTACAATGTCAATTACATGGATGTAGAGTTAAGTACCATAAAAAAAAAACTTTCAAACCTTTTCATTTTTAAACGACTTCCAAAAAATGAGGTTATCAGTTCGTCGGAATATTTTATTTTTTATTTTTTATGTATGTTACCGCATAACTTTGGATCAGATCCGATCATTGGATCAGGAATTATATATATGTATATATATATATATAATTCATGATCCAATGATCGGATATATATATATACGCATATATATATATATATATATTTTATATGAGAATTGAAGTCGGTTTTGTTTTTTGCTTAAAAATTACTTGTTACACATTCATGTTTCTAGCATAAGGGGGACGATATGTACATGTTTACTTAGATATAAAACATATCATATCAATATTGGTATGTCCAACTATGAATCAAAACGAATTTTAAATTTCAAAATGTAATTCCATTTGAAGAAATAGTGAGATAGATAGTAACAAATTTAGTAGCCTATAAATAATTGTTTTTGAGGCTAAAATATTTTGTTCTTAAAAAACAAACTTTATTCCAATGATTTTCGGTTTCTAAATTTAAATTTCTAAATTTAAATGTTAAAAATTTGTCCGACTGTTTTATTTTCTCAACATTGTATGTGTGATTAATAGTTTACACACTGAGATTTAGTTTCCCAGTCGGCAAAATTATGAACGTTTCTCAATAAAATCTTTCAATAGTCCTGCTATTCGAAGGAAGATAAGAAATTTGGTGCCTCTTGGTTCAATAAGCTTGCTATTGCAAATGTACTAAATCCTCGCCACCTTCCATATAACGGAATTTTCGAAAAATGTGACAACTACAAATCGTCGTTTAAAGTACAAAATCGCGTATCGTCATTCTGCCAAATCGCATAACTGACATTTGCTGCTAAACATTGGATTTTCTCATCTTTATCCATTCGTCCTGAAATATACTAGCTAGAAATGCGATTTCTTTATAAAAAAGGAAACCATTTTGAAATATAAGTGTTTTTACTCTAAAAAATTATTTATGCAACCTCACATACGCGGTTGTGCGTTATCTTGATACGCGGCTTCGCATTTTGTTGATATTTCAGTAATTGCTGGAACTGAAACGCTCAAAATTGAGATAAGAAGTAAATATTTGAAAGAAAATATAAAATTTGAAAAAATGGGCGTAAAAGCGCCTTCGTCTTGTTAGGAGCCGTAACCTCCTAAACGATTTTGGGCGAGTCCAAAAAAGCACGCCAGTCGTTTCTCTTCTGTGCCAACTTATACCGACCATTTATGATAAAATAGGAATCTTCAAGAAATTCGATATACACATACATAGGGTAAGATGTTAAAAAAAAATTCGAAATCGGACGATAACCCCGCCCACTTCCCATATAACGCATATTAGATATTTCACAATGTTGCCTTTCAGCGAAAAATTTGATTTTTGTGAAATTTCGTAAAGGAAAGTGATCCAACCACTTTTCAACACTTCAATCACATGCATATTTTATATATTTGATATTTAACATATATCTCTGTAACGACTAAATCGAACTTACTTAATCTTGGTACATTTGTATGCGCCTCGCTAATCAAGGTATTAAACATTTTTTAATCGGTTTCGGTTTTTCCTATTTTGCCGGCTGGATTTAAGTCTTATGCACGCTAATTGTAAAAGGATAAGTGTATAGCATAATTCAAAAATATAATCGCATCAAGTTAAAGTAAAAGTCTAAGGGCCAATTTCTCCTGTAGGTTTTAAATTTATCTACCCCTTAAGCACAAATTTTGTTCTGAAAAATAAAATATGTTTGAAGAACAGATAAATTTTAAAACGTACTTGAGAAAACGGCACTAAAATTGGTTACAAACAAAGCAATTTTTAAACCACAAAAAACATTCGACTTTAATGCCCATATAAAAATGTAAGAGTACCGTTAATTTCTTCATGATAAAACGATCGGAACTAAACCAAATTATCATAGCACCGACCTTGAGGTTCCACCATTCCGATAAAGAAAAAGAATTATCAAAAACGGTTGATGTGGTTCAAGGTCATCCGGTAACATACATAAAAAAAAATCCGATGAATTAAACAGCTTCCTATAGACTATTTTTGGCATATTTGTTCATTAGCACAATGATATGATGTACGACAAAATTTATGCATATGCCATCCGCACGAATGTAATCCGATTCTTGCGAATGACATCCCGCGGATACATGTCTACTACAGTCCGTAGATTATTGTTAAGATTGTGTAAACATCATTCTATTTAAAAAGAAAGAAATTTGGAAACACATTTATTAACATTTGCACTTTTAGCCTCCATGTAAACGCAATCCCCTTTCTAAATACTTAGGTATTTTAAGATACGATATGGCCTTGTTTATTGACTAGTCTAAGTTTTATATGTATACAAGAGCTAATCTGTACTGTTAATACACATATTGTGCTGTTAAAATATACATACAGACATACTCGTTTAACCATATACTTACATAGTAAAATATGTTACATAACTACATATATATGTATTTACACACCTACATTCATATGTTCTAGCATTTGCTGCCTAACGCTTTATTGATATCTCGCGAATGAATTCCATTGTACTATTAAAACTTAGTTAAGGAACACTTGGCTAAAAAACGTGAAATATGTAAAATATTAAAAGCTTTACTATTTTTTATTTAAACTTTTTTGGTTTTTAATTTAACTGCATAACAAGTAATCTTTTAACGCGTATGTACACTAGGGCAGGCGTTCGCAAAATTTTTGTTCCCGCGGCACCCTTTTTGTGCTAAAAAAATTCCCCGGCACAGCTTTTCTTAAAATGGCTTGCCTGTTTACGAAAATAAGAAAACACAATGCAAATTTAATGCTCATCAAGCTTTAATGGGAGGGATGACATTTTTTTTTTGATGATTTCTTTATTTCCTTTAAGTTTATTTGTCAATTTTACCCTTAAATCATTTGACGCTGAAAGCTTGCTTATGTATTTGTTTTTTACATCCCTGCAAACCATTTTTTCAGAGTATTCTGCATTGTAAAGAAATTTTAAAGAATTCGTTAAGATTTAACTCGATTTTTTGCCGAATTTTCTAAAATTAAATAAATTACGCACACTTCTATTCTTTTACGAAATTTCGGAAGAAAATCTGTGAAGCAACGAAAATAATGCTGCTATGTGAAGAATATCTTTCAGAATTTTTCCAGAATTTTCTTTATTTTTCGTACAGAAATTTCTTTACGAGTTCATATAATTTTCTTTGAAAATTCGTAAAAAAATCGTTACAGAAATCAGATACTCCTAACGATTTCCTTAAGATTTCGGGAACTTTGGTTTGCAGGGTATTTATAAGGTACAATCGCTGAGAGCCAACTTTAAGAATTTTGACGTTTGCTAAAAACCAAAGAAATATATTTCTGTCGAAACAACAAAATTTGAATATACATACATACATATGTAAATAAATAAACGGAAGCAATTGTCTGTAATGGACTTCTGCCCGCATGTTAAGGCGAAGCTTTTGACATGCATTTGAAGATATTTTACCTTAAGGGCACTGCACTTTTGCAAAGAACTATCTTGTGCTTACATTGGGTCAGGTGGTGTGGCAAAAAATGAGTCGAGCATACATAGGGGCACTTTGGCAAATCCGTTTTCATAACACCACAAACCTCGATCCATTTTTGCTGTATATACGATAGTGGCGGGAACTTGAGGGTCTTTAGATTGATTTGCTTGCAGAGGAAAAGGAATTTGGGCAGCCGTTAAAGCAGCAACTAATTTTTCGTTTCGAATTGTTTTAGTTTTCTCAACTTCTGAATAATTAAAATATTTCAAATCATAAATTTTCATTTGTTTATTTTGAATTTCTTTGACATTAGAAGCATTTCGAGAGAGAAAACTCAAAATGCTTGCAAACGTCAAGGTACATTGAACAGGTAGTATCAGTGTAGCAGCTGATTTGATTTATTTTCAAATTATTTGGTCTCGAAAATGTCAAATATTTTTAATTTTTTCTCACAAAAATTCTGAATTGTTAAAATCCATTTGCATGTGAAACCTTTTTCCATACAAAACAAGCGATTGAATAGCAGCTTTTGGAACGTTCGCCCAACTCAGCAGCACAACTGCTGATTACTGGCCCTTGTAAAGGATGGATCAATGCTTCGAAAAGCAAACAAATTTACTAGGAAAGAAAGTTGCATCAATTTTTATTTTTTCCAATTTCAATTTTTTATTTTTTATAATTTTTTGTATTTCACATGGCACGCTTTGATTTAGAAGAAAATATTCAGAACAGTTTTTGACACTTTCGATACCAGAAGCAACAACAAAATACACGCAAATGTTGTTTTTGCTCTACTGATACTACCTGTTTAATGTGCCTTGGCAAACGTAAAGAAAAAACCCAATGTCGGACGAATTGAGCGAGCGGTTTTACCTTTAAATATTTGTATCATGGTTTTTTATGTAAGCATCCCAACAAGCATTTCAGTAAATGTTTTAAAAATAACTTAAAGTAAGTTTGCTATAATCAGCGTTAAATAAGCATTTTTAATATTAAGCTTATTTAAAGTTTTTTCAAATAAACCTTTAATAAGCTTTGAGAGCGAATGTTTATAAATAACTTAAATTTATAAATGAAATGCAAATGCCAACGACATGAAGTAGTAAATATAAAATTTTTTCAATCGTAAGTGACGTGTTTATATTTTTTAAAATATATTATTAAAAGAAAAAATTAAATAAAACCGATGCGGTAAAAAAAATCCAATCCCGGACCCGCTGCGCTAATCGTTGGAGCATTCGAGTCTTCCAATGATGAGTTCTCCTTATACTTTTTTAGTTTAAAATTCAATTAAAAATGTATTAAATTTTTTTCAGTAAAGTTCATCAATGAGAATGGTGGCGATGAAGCGGAAGATATAGCTGCATCGATGTCGTTTTTCCAATTTGCCAATAACCGCATGTAATTGAAAGCACGCAACAAGATGTAATAATTAACTTTTTTATGCTTAATTTTTGTGTGTTATCGTGAATTTGTATGCTAAAATGTCTATTTTCTATTTATATTTTCGCGACTGTAGATGGGTCCGCCGAAAATTCGCATTTCGTTTAGTTTCTAGATGTTAAGCAATCTATGTATGAGGTCTTAATGAAATATCTTTAAATAAAGGTTTATAAAAATGTTTATAAATAGCTTTGTTTTGAAAATTTTTAGTAAGTTTATATTCATACGCTTATAAACAACTTTTTTTGAACCTTTATTATAAGTTTACACTTTTACGCTTATAAAAAGCTTTCTTTTGAACATTTATTACAAGTTTATATTTCTACGCTTATAACCAATATTCCTTTTCGATTATATTACGCTTACTTTCAAGCGTTTTATAAACAAAAAATCAACGTTTTGTAAGCTTAATGTTTATAATTGAAAATTAAAAAAGAACTTTCTTTAAGTTTATTTTGCTTGTTGGGATTTGTCAAAATGCAGACTCACATATGTAGATATTCTTGCAACCGACGAAAGTTGGATGTGTTTGCGCTTTCAATACATGCTTTAAAAAAAAAATATTTTTTTTTCACAAGCCTCTCATTTTTTCCAATTGAGCCCCTCCCTTGCCTTGAAGAGGTGTCGTGGTTTCATATGTTTTTGAATATGTCAGGAAGTTATCCCAATCAGCCAAACAACATCAGTTAAATTTTGAACCAAAAACTGCTTTGTAAATGTGGCCACCAGTGCATATTTTTTCTCAAGCAATCTGGCTAAAATCTTTCCCCTTTAAAGCCACCGCAAAAGGTGAAACTGATCCGTACACATGCCTTCAGCGGCAAGTTTGAAAAGGCTTGAAGCGGGCGACTCTTAGCATAATTATTTATCTTCGCAGCGTCATCCAATACGGTTTTTAAACCTTGTGGTGGATCTTTGTAGTCTCCAGGGAATGCTGATGGATCATACCGCTCTCGACGGCCTCTGAAATTGTGCTGATTCGCTCATTCACAGTGTGATTGTGAAATTCAAAAAAAAAATAAGTAAGCTGCTGCGCTGGTTACGAGAACAGTCCAGCAACGGAAAGAAAAGTGGATGAAATGGGTATTTTTGTCCGTTTATCGATTCCATTTTCGGACACCTTGACGATTCGTTTCCCACTAAAGTGTGCGACAGAAAACTACGTTTAGAAAAGTACCGAACATGATTATGAAAAGGATATGTTTTCGGCTGTTTTTCTGAAATTTTTCTGATAAAATTTTTCGTTGACAAACGTACTGGTGAGTTACGCTTAAAAGCAAAATACACTACACAAGCGTCTTGACAAACCAAGCGAAATATCTCTTTGCCTCAAGCCATTTGTATTGTGTATGGGATTTGACAAGCTGCTTGTGGGAAATTTGAACAAAAATCTAAATTTTTTGAGTTGCTGACCGCCTGATTTGAAACGAAAGTTTCACCAAGTGAGGACGTAGGAGAGATAAATGGAAGAAAACTGAAATTTTTTACATTGTGAATCGGAAGAAAACTAAAATTCTTTGCTTGAACGAGTCATGTTTGTATGGTATATGGCGAAATGGAGAAAGTCGGTTTGGATTATGTTTGAGCTGCTTGCCGAACAGTAGACACAAGATAGTAAAACTGTTGCCATATACTAAAAATTGACTCTACTGCTTAATTACAAAATTTTAATAAAAGTTTAAAAAATGTGCCTTCACTACTATTATACTCCAGCCGCTAGCGGCACCCCTGGCATGCACTCGCGGCACCCACTTTGGGAAGGCACTAGGGTGCCCATCGAAAATGTTTTTTTTTTAGAAATTTCAAGACCCTACCCCTTATTTTTATTCGTTTTTATGAGAAATATTATTACCTATTTTTATAGGTTTTTTAAAGGTCATTTAGAAGTCGGGACCTGGGAGTTTTTGAATGACTATTTTTAGTTCGATTTCAAAGATCGAATATGATCTAAGCAGGGGATATATAGGCCTTTAAAATGGTATATAATCTATTGTCGGACTAGGCTTGTTGGGATTTTTTATCGGGTAAATTAAAAAAAGACCCATATTTCTCTAAATTTCTTAAATTGTGACCATCGATCAGATTTTTTGAGCAGTGTGGCTAAGGAGTTCTTTAGCAAAAAAGTGGTTTTCCATAAATTTTAGGAAAATTGGGGCGGCACCGCCCATTTAAATGATATATCCGTATCTCAAAAACTACTCTGCCGATCTGAACCAAATTTGGTGAACACATTGCGCTTAGGCTTCTTAAGCGCCATATTGGAACCACGGGCTCCACCAAGGTAACGGTAATTTCAAAAAACTCAAAGTTAGCTATATTTAAGGAGGAGTAGGTTTTGTGCGATTTAAAAAATATTCAAGACGGTATTAAAATTCGACAGTTTTTAAGCGATTGCAATAAATGAGCTATCAGATTATTTGAAAATAGATTTAATTTTAGACAGCATCACAAATGTATATTGAAATTGTGGAAATAATCGAAGGTCAAAATTAAAAAAATATGGGTCTTGTCTTAATTTACCCGATAAAAAATTCCAACAAGCCTAGTCCTACAATAGACCTATATATCATCTTCTCAGATCATATTCGATCTTTGAAATCGAATCAAAGTAGTCATTCCAAAACTCATACATCTACAAAAATCTATTTGCTGACCTAAATCGACAGGTCGCGACCTCTAAATGACCTTTAAAAAATATATAAAAATAGGCAATAATATTTCTCATAAAAACGAATAAAATTAGGGGTAGGGTCTTGAAACTCCCAAAAAAAGCATTTTCGATGGGCACCCTAATGTACACCAATGGCGCATGTGTGCACCCAGAAAAAGTCTGCTAAATATATCGTCGTTTAAAGTACAAAACCGCGCATCAACAAAATTCAAAACCGTGTATGTATGTGAGGTTGCATAAATTATTTTCTAGAAAGTAAAAACACTCATATTTCAAAATTTTTCTCTTTTTTATAAAGCAATAGCACTTCTGGCTAGTATATTTCAGGACGAATGGATGAGGAATAAGCCAAGAGTTTGTGTGAGCAAATCCAATTTTTGGCAGCCAATGTCAGTTACGCGGTTTTGCAGAATGACTTTACGCGGTTTTGTACTTTAAACGACGATATGTTTTTCTCTCAACACATATGTAATTTTGTTATAGTTACTAGGGATACCAAAATATCAGGAAAATTGGGATCCCGGGATTTCGGGATATTTTTTTAGGTAATCCCGGGATTCCGGGATTTATCCCGGGATTCAAATTGAGTCATACATTTTATGAATATGAGTAAAAATTCAATGTCTGAAAGCATTTAAACATACCATTAAATAAAACTTTTTAAAATTTACGATAAACTGATTGTAAAACTCATATATCGCTAGCTTAGAGTGAAAAGTTGCTAACTTCACTTTTAATGAAAAAACATATTTTGATATAGGAGGCTAGATAAATTAAAATTGCATCGTTTCGAAAAGGGTAAAGGTCTTTGTTTTATGTTTATATTCAATGAAAGGAAAATTTGCTAATGCCAAAAAAGCTCCGAAAATTCGATTAGGCCAAAAAAGTTCGAAATCGTTTAATAAATATCGAATCCCTCCGATTCGTATGGAATTTTGCTTTGCTTTAAACAGGCAAAATGTTGTACTCAACGTTTTGCGAAATACTTGAAGAAAATGGCTATACGAAGTTTTTTCCTCTCCTGTACAATTTTTAAATTGGGACTTAACAACTTTGCACTCACGCTAGCGATATTTATTAAATCAGACAAATTTTAAAGTAAAACATATAATTTTTTATTGTATTTAAAAAAACCGTGTGATTGAGGAACATATACATTACAAATAATAATGTAAATACCAGGTACTTTTGAAAGTGGCGATTAATAAAAAAAAAAAAAACAAAAATATACAAAAAGAATTTCTCTAAACATGTTTATTCTACTCTTTAAAGAAATGGCGGGATTGTTGTAGCCGCTACAAAAAAAAAAACAACAACAACAAAATTGCTTTCAAGTACTTGATTCGTGTAAATCGGGTGTAAAAGGGTGACAATTTGGTTAAGCTGCCTTTACACGCGTCGATTTCTGTCAACTGGAAAATGGACTGAGCAATCAACTAGCATATGTAAAATATTTTCCTGTTGAATTGCCGATTTTGGCTGAAAGGCGGCAAAATTCTACTAAAAAATCGGCTGGTGCTTCACTGGCAAGTTGCTGGACACTTTCTTTCTGGAGAATACAAAAATACACCTAATGCTCGGGCATGCCTAATGCTTGAAGTATTTTTTCTATCGTCTCCAACAGTCGTAAAAGAATCACATGTATGCATGTGGAGAATCAGATTGAAAGAGCAATCAAAAGCAGCTGTTAAAATTTGTGTTTTTTAATAAATTTATAAATTTGCAATGCTTACAATAAATGAATTAAGTTACATCATTTAAATAATTGCAAAACCGAAACTTACTAATTTTGTGTACCCACAAGTTTATCAGAAAATAATGCCGTCGGTTGCGGCCGCCGTCACACAGGAAACTGAAGATCCCGTAGAGCTGATGCTCAAGAAAACCGGCTGCATAGAATTACACTACAAAGTACAAGAGTGCATTGCGGAAACAGGCGATTGGCGACGCTGTCAAGAGGTAGTAAAAGATTTTAAACAGTGCATGCAAAAGTATACCGAGCAGCAAATGAAAAAATACGCCAAATCAAAGTAAATTATTAAGATATTCAACTATTACAAATAAAATGCTTAAACAGATTATCACTGCAGCTACAGCGCCGCGGACCAAACTGGTGCTAGTGGTGCGCAGTGATTTGAAAATGTCTAAGGGGAAAACTGCAGCACAATGTGCTCATGCAGCTGTGCTTTGTTATCAGCAGTGCCAAACGAATGGCAAGAAACAGAAATTAGTAGAAAGCTGGTCACTTTCGGGGCAGCCGAAAATTGTATTGCGCGTTAATACATTACAGGAGCTTATGCATTTGCAGGATCGTGCAAAAGATGTTGGTGTTGTGGCAGAGCTGGTAAGAGATGCTGGACGCACGCAATTGGAATGTGGTACAGCTACAGTGCTGGGTATTGGCCCAGATATTGAGAAAAACATAAACGAATTGGTTTCTGATTTGAAATTATTGTAGCATAGGTTTTCACTTTGTTTGCCGAAGAAATAAAATAACCGTTGTTTTCGCTTTACATTTTATATTTAATTACATATTAACGTTTAGAGAATTGTTTATATTTCTTTATAATTTTAATCGTGTTTCTTACTCCTTGTTGCAATGGTCAACGATATAGGCTTGCCGAATGTTTCCACTAGATCAGATGTCACACGTTCAGTAATTTGCCTCAATCTACCATTAGATTCACCACAAATTAAACGCTCAATACGAGCTGAAGGACAGGTGACTTCCACTGACGCGTATATCGTACCTGCAGATGCAAACAATACATAAATACCTTAATATAATTGTAACTGGTTTGAACAGTTACCATTTTCTTCAGAGAAATACTCGATTGCGCTTTGCAAATTATAAGGTATCTCTTGGGGCAAATAGTCCAAAAGTCTGGCGCGCACACTCTCCACAATTAAAGTTTCTGGTTTTACATCTGTAAAAGTTCCTTTGGAGTACTCCCAGGCTCGTTCTTTCGCAAGCTTTATTAGATAATCCTACAGATAAAGGAATCACATGTTTTAAAGTGAGTATGTATGTATGCGTACGTAAATATAATTTTTGTATATATAATAAAACATTGAACTGTTCTCATACATACCTGAATGTTATTTAATCCACTGCCGGTAATGGAGGAGACAAGGAAGACCTCATGAAAACTACTCCAACTCACATCTTTGTGTTTACTTTCTTCCGACTTCGTTTTTAGACTTGTATTTGTTTCTTCACTTGACTTGGCCTGTATTTTACGTTTACGATTCCAATAAGATTGAGGGCTGCTAAGTGTATCATTAGTTAAAACCCGTATCAATTCGAGCAAAACTCGTTTTGACTTTAGTGCATCAATCTTGTTTAGGATTAAAAAGCTTGGCAAATGATCGTATTCTTTTAATGTTTCGAGTACGGTAGGGTGTAGAGCGTTACGAGTCCATGAATTCGAAACATCGTGCATGCAGGCGATAATATCGGCATGTTGTATTGCGTGTTTGTAGGCAGATTTGAAGCTTTGCTCGAGACTGTGCCGCTTCATCTCGCGTGACGTCACTAATCCCGGTGTGTCATACAAAACCAATTGCGTTTTTCCAGTGGTATAAATGGCCTTGCTAGCTTTTCGTGTTGTATGCACTTTAGAAGATGTAGGGCAAACCTAGCATGTGGCAAGAACCTATTACAAAAAATAATTGCAAATGGTACATAATAGCACTCACCCGGTGATTGATTAAATTATTAATAAAGGTACTCTTTCCTGCATTCGGGACCCCTATTACAGCAATATGCAAAGAATTCTGGATACGTTGGCTATTTTGCGGCTTGAGTTCATCCTCTGCTGAAGTTGCTGGAGCGGCAGAGGGAATCTCAGAAGTTGATTTGCCATGTGTGGCTGCTAAAACGTAGCTACGAACATTTGAAATTAAAATCCGATTTGTTCCTCTTAATTTTAAGAAAATTTTCGGGACATTTACAAAATTATTCACCAATAACTCCATAGTTCTCGAATAAAAATGTCAGAAAGAGCAAAGAAAAACAAAACCAAACGTCAAAAAAGAAATAAGATAAGATGATCTTCCCAGCACGTAAATAAAAAATACGGTCTATGCATAAGGGGTATTCAAACAACTGATATTTGTAAATATACAGTTTTGTTATGAGAGGGAATTGTATTAAGCGCCACGGAGACAATCAAATAAATACGTAAAGCATTGCGTATGTGTGAGTGAGGTTCGCTCTTGTCTTGCCCGCAAACGTTCAAATAAACGCATCAATCAACACTTTGTATTGTGAATATGCAGTGTTCGTTTGTTAGCACGATGTCATGGGATGAGTATCATTTATGGCATAATTTTATATGTTATAAATTAATATTTATTACATTTCATAAAGCTAGTAAGCATTGATAATGAGCAATCAAACCTAAAATAATTTATTTTTCTTGTCCGCGCACTTTCTCACCACGACGCCCTGAAGGCAAGTGAGCTTGTTTTTTGTCAAGCTTATCGCGAGACGGTCAAATAAACAGTCAACAAATTCAAATATTAAAATTTTTTGATTTTCATCATAGCATTGCCGACAACGAGTCGTTGTACAGTGTTGCCACGCAATTTTTTTATTTTTTACCAAAATCACCGAAAAAAGTTACCAAATTCAACAGAAAATTACCAAATTAATTTTATGTGCAGAACTAATGTGCACAAACATACATAATTACGTTATTTTGGCAGTTAGGGCTCGACATGTATATTTGTACAGAGCTGCACATAAAATAAGTTTGGTAATTTTTAATAATATGTTAAAACTTGTCAAAATATGGTGCGGCTATATTTTTTCGACCACTGTATGTAAACAAGTGACAAGAAAATATATCAAAAATTCAACGCTTGAAGGAAAGCTTTCGACTCACACATAAACAGAGTGAAGTCCCCCGCTGAATGCCGTAGCTTTTTGAACGAGAACATACATATTTTCGTAGAATTCTACTCCTATATATTGTTGCCGGGTACACCGGACAATTGATGGTAATTGCAAAGCTGACGAACTGACAGGGAAAAGTAGGTTCCCACAATTGCAAATTTCGCTATACTTCACTTTACTTCCTCAGAGCTTTCAAATACTGTAAAATGCGAACTACTGCAAACTGTGGACGCGAGTTAAGTCTGTCTCCCATCCGACGAAAAGAACGGACAACGGTGTCCTTACATTTGACAGTACCACAACGTCGGATCCGCGGACGCGCTTCTTCAGCCAGCATTTCATTGAACACACAGATAGATACAAAGCCCTTTGGAGTGTGCTACGTAAAACACACAAACTCCGCCCCCGAGATACACCAACATGCCTTACTACAGATGAGACGCAGACAGCTGTCAACGACCCCAAAGCATCCAAGGCGTTAAGCCCGGACGGAATCTCCATGCAGATGCTGAAAAAGCTAGGACCTACGGGAGTCAAGTACATCACAGCCGCTTTCAATTTGTCACTGTCCACCCTTTTTAAGTCAGAAAAGTAGGTGGACACAGGAGACTCATACCGGTCCATTTCCCTCTTATCCCCAGTGGCAAAAACAATCGAAGCACTACTCCTCTCCAGCCTGTAGAAGCGTCTGAAACTAGCCGACCACCACCATGGTCACTAGCCGGTAGCACCGGGTAATCGACAAAGAGATCCTGCTCACAACATATAAAGCGATCGGCCGATCGGTGGCCAACTAAGCGGCGCAGTCGCCAGGTACGATGGATACGCAGTGGAGAAACATACAATCCTGCCAGAATGCAGCTCTACATACGGCTACAGGTTATAATCTCATGTCATGAATAAAGCCAGATGCTGTCGGTGGAAGAACATAACACCTTGCTATCGAAGCAGTTTCTCGAGGGATGCCATCGTGGAAACCACCCCGACAACCCCCCACTTCGGAATAACAGCCTCCATAGCGACCTAGTGTAATTTGCTCCACACGGGTCTATTGCTTTATGTCAAGCCACACTGCTAACTTTATTCTTTCCTCGTATGGTGTTTTCGAGCGATTTGTGGGTCTTGTTTCGGCTTCTCAATATTAAGTTCAAGACGAGTCTCATTACTAGGGAACGGATTTTTAGGACCTAAAAACCTATAAAAAAGGCAAAATAAAATAACGAAATAGGCTGGAAAAGGCAAAATAAAATAGCAAAAAAGGCAGGAAAAGGCACTAGGTATTGTAAAAAAGGCAAAAGAAAATAGCGAAAAAGGCAGGAAAAGGCACTAGGTATTGCAAAAAAAAAGCAAAATAAGAACAAATAAGAACAATAAAAAATAGACTTATTTTAGAAATGCTTATATTACAAGTAAAAAGAGAAAAACTATGAACTAGTTTCATTTTATGAAACATTTGTACTCTGAATCTTTGACTATTTTATCCTTTCGAGTCTCCAACTCATAAAACTTTAATCTGTATAGTTGTAGTAACATTGAACCACAAGATGCATTTTTAAGTTTTCTGGGAGCATTTTCATTCGATTTTCGCGAAGTCTTGAATTTACTAAATCTGCGCTCGACGTAAGTTGATACAAGTGGAGCTCAATTTAAATATGGAACGTTTGAAACGTTTCCATTATCAGGAATAAGGGCGTTTTCCTCGCCCTTTACAATTTTATCCACACCCCTTTTTGTGTCCAAGCCTACGTTAGCTGAGAAAACGGCTTTGAATTTTTCCAACACCAATTTGGCAACAGGTCCCTTCGCTTCTATAAGCCGCGTGGGCATGTGTATATTTCTAATCTTAAAAAAAAATTGTAGATGCTATAATCACTTTTTTAAAGGAAGAAAAGGCAAAAAAAACCAATAATTTAAAAAAGGCAAATATCTTAAAAAAGGCAAATATCTTAAAAAAGGCAAAAAAAGGCAACATCAAATGTGTATATATGGAATCAGGGAAAGCTAAATCGTGGACATTCTTGATCGAATATACTCTATCTGTTTAGCAGAAAAGGCAATTTACATAAAATCCGTTCCCTGCTCATTACCTTCGTCCAAGTTTGTGAGAAGTATGTTGCCTCCCCGGCAATACATATTTGGACATTACGCGTAGTAAAAAAGTAGGCTATGTATCCGAAGTAGCGGTTGATTAGCATGGACATACTGACGATTACCTGAGTTGGCAGGCCAGTTTGGTGAAGTACAGGTTGAA